TATACGAAGGAAAATACAGTAAATATATGACTGGGAGAAGTGTTATTTCTTGAATGGTGGCCTGGTAAACAAGAATGTATTTAGATCATGTTTATTCACTTACTGAAGAATTTATTGGTCTGATAACCATATTTTGAACTTTATAGATATTTGTGTTGCATTATATAGAACTTCATCCCTCTTTAACTGGTTATTTCTTTCAAAAGCTTGGCAGGTCTAAGCAGAGCCTCACCCCCCACCTCCCTGTTTTCAGTTGGATGCTATAACTTGGCAACTTGCAAATTAGAACGGTATGTAATTTTTAATAATAGAACTCAAATGTGTTTCTCATAATTCTGCTCCAGAGGTTTAGCTGAATGCATAAACTTTATGTGAACTTATTAATCATGGCAGGGGAGGGGGAGAGCTAGCTACTTCACACACAGGACAGAATTGCATGTCCATTAGCCACTGTTCAGTAGCAGCTTTCAAAAATAAGAACTATAGGCTGGCTCATATGAATCTGCATAGCCCACAATAGATACTGAGCAATTGACAGGAATTTGTTTGATCTTAATTTTGTCCAATACTTTATGCAATAGATATCACATACAATATAAGCATTTGAATTTCCCCAGAAACACTGGATGATTCCTATCATCCCCAGACATGTTTCTTTCTTCTCTAGCCTAAAGTACTATAGTTCAATACATCTGGAAGACCACAGAAAACTATAACCATGCTTGTGCAGCTAAATATAATTGGTGTGTCATCTATATGCTAAGTTGTTTATCTGGAAAGACGTGAGCTGGATCCACACTGCAGAAATAATCCACTTTGAAACTACTTTAACTGCCATGGCTCAATCCTATGGAGTCCTAAGAACTGTAGTTTGTTGGGGCCCAGAGCTCTCTGATAGAGAAGGCTAAATGTCTCACAAACCTACAAATTCCAGAATTTCATAGCATTGAGCCATGGCAGTTAACGTGTTGTGAGACTGCATTATTTCCTTGAAGAGAAGCTGTGCTACCAATCAGCACATGAGATGACAGCAAGGCTTAACATGGTTAACAACTGCACTTTCTAGGGTGGAAGTGCCTGCTAAAACACATCTCAGAATCATTTGCAGTGCTAAGGAGTGCAGTGATACATATATAGATGTTCCTTAGCAGACAGTTCTAGATTTAGAACTGTGGAGTGTGTTCTAAATCTAGAAAGTCAAAAGCACTGATGTGTGCAATGAGAGAAAAATACTACCGTATTTTCCAGTGTATAACATGACTGGGCATATAAGATGACCCCCAACTTTTCCAGTTAAAATATAGAGTTTGGGATATACTCGCCTTATAAAACTACCCCTCTTCCAACGCAAAATGTATGTACAATTTGCGGCCAAGTAAGTGACCCTGGGCATGTCACACATTCTCAGCCTCAGAGGATGGTAATGGCAACCCCCATTTGAAGAAACATTCCAAGAAAACACCATGATAAGGTTGTCTTAGGGTCACTAAAAGTTGGAAAGGATTGAAGACACACAAGAACAACAAAAAAGTCTGCAATTGTTTCATAGGTAGTACATCAGAATAGGAGCCAGCATAGTGTAGTGGTTTGAGTGTTGGACTACCACTATAGAGACCTGGGTTTGTTTCCCAATTCTGCCATGAAGCCAAGACACATTCTCAGCCTCAGGGGAAGGCAATGACAAACCTCCTCTGAACCAGTCTTGCCAAGAAAACCCCAGGATAGGGGTTCACCTCTTATCTGCTTCTGCCTCCTTCACCTCTTATCCACTGTTGCTTCCTCCTCCTGCCTCATGCCACACCTTGCCACTGCTTCGTCATCCCCCCTCCTCCCCCTCCTCTAACCTGGATTTCCTTTATTCCTCCTCCTCCCGTCTTGCACCGTGGCACCCCTTCTTCCTCCTCCTCCCTCACCTGGCATATAAGATAACCCCCGACTTCCTCTTCCTCCTGCCTCATGCCGCACCACCCCTTCTTTCTCCTTCTCCTCCACCTGGCATATAAGACAACTCCCGACTTCCTCCTGCTCCTGCCTTGTGCCACACCACCCCTTCTTCTTACTCCTCCTCCACCCTGTGTATAAGATGATCCCCAACTTTGGAGAACATTTTCCTGGGCTAAAAAGTCATCTTATATGCTGGAAAATATGGTATATTATGTCAACATGCAGTCATGAATAATTGTTAAGCCTCATTATCTGGAACAACCTATTTGCCACTAAATCAAGAGAAGCTGGAGGTTCTTATTTTACAGGATTTAATTACATGAGGCAACACTCAGCAGCTGGGGAGGGAAGTTTATTTCCATTTATATTTTTCAATGCTCTAATGTTATTTTTCTCAAAATAGTTTGCTAGGAAACTATACAAGTTCTTGCTTCTTGTGTATAAAATAGCCATTATGGAAACTAGAGATGACTTCTGGAAGCTAAGAGTTTTAAAGAAGTAACATGACAATCACAAGATCCCATCTGATTTTGAAAGCTAAGCAGGATCATCCCTGGTCAACATTTGGATGGGAGAGTACCAACAAATGCCAGGTGCTGTAGGTTGTATTTCAGGGAAGGAAATGTCAAAAACATTTCTGCATATTCCTTGCTTAAGAAAACCCTATGAAATTTGTGGAGTCACTATAAGTTGACAGGCACACACATACATACAAACAATATAACGGTGTCAACTGAAATAAGACACACATACCCCACACACTGTTATCTTAATATGCACTCTTAAACCACTCAAAGTGGTGGTCCAGACACTGGTGCTGGTCCCCAAGGCATTGATTGATGGTCCTTGATCAGTTTCTAGGAAAAAAAAGAAACAATTATAGCCAGTGGGCACAAATATGGTGTGCATGCCTGGCACATCAGGAAAAAAAATGCTGCTCTCTCACATGAGAACAGCATGCTGGACTAGGACTCCAGAAGACCAGGTGTGGACACCTACAGGGTTTCCCATAGCCTCAGAGGAAAATTCCTCTGAACAGTCACACAAAAGCACAGCACACATCATATATATTGAGACACATGGGTCTAAAGGACAATGATAATATTGCAAAACACTGGATTGTTGTTTTAAATGAGAAAATTTCCAACCAATAACAACAGCTGTCATGAAGAAAAATGGAAAATACCTGGAACTCTGAATCTGTCTGTCCTTTTCTGGAGATCTTCTTCCTCCTGGCTACCTGCAGAACCAGATAAAACCCTGACATTTCTGTTCCAAGTTGAGTCTTGGAAATCTTGACCTTAAGACACATTGTAATTTAGATATAACTCATCTGTTCTTTGCAGAAGGTGGTGTTGATTAAAATTTTGGATAAAATCAACTCCTCCCTCCTTAACAATATAAAAAAAAACTTTTAAAAAATGAATGTAGGAAAAAGCAAAACTGCCAGATCGATCCATCCAAAGCAGAAGGTATTGATTACAAAGCTCTTCGAAGTCTGAGTTTGAATTCCTGTGTATCCAAACATATTTGAGACAGTGAATTAGAGTTGTCATTCCCATTTTTCTGACATGCTCTTCACCTTTAACAGATGTGGGTATGTAAGAACCACATGATTGTTTCTGTTTTTGGAATAGTTGCGCCTACTGAATTTGGCCAGTGTAGACTGGTGAGAATTTTATTTGATTTGTTTTTGAAAAGAACATACTAAAACATGCAACTGCCTTTCATAAACAGGATTGAATGAAGTTGAGGCTTTTTTTATGTAGCAAAAAGCAACATTGACAGATTTGTTCAGCCCTAATGGAAATACAACAGTTGCAATGCATAAACCAGCTGTGGCAGAATTTTTAGACTTAAATTTCATTAAGGCAATTGGAAGATACTGAAATCAATGCTGTGGAGGTTCAATTATTCCATAGCTCAACAGTTCATTAGCACTCTGAAAAGGTATATGTGCATTGGAGGGGGGAGACTGGGGAATGTTTTAAAACAGTGAAACAAATTACAGTTTATATTAGCTAACAATGTGTTATCATAAACCATTCTCATAAATTTCATGATACTTTACCATTACATAATCTATTTTATATTTATAACACACATCTGGCATACTGTATCCCTGTTCAGATCACTTTAATTAAAGCAGCCTCAGAGCTCCTGTATAAAACAATGGAAGTTCTGATGTACTGCAAAACAGCAGCAAGAACAGCTTCATGAATAGTGCAGTATGTGAAAGCAGTCGTTCCAATTGACTACTAAATCCATTTCTTCTCGTTAACACCATGAACAGGAGGTATGCCATTGATTATGTCCTCTTAAACAGAGACCAGTTCATTGAAAACATGGACAGATGATTTATCAAGGATTAAATCTACCATTTTGAAGGCCCTTGCTAGGTTGTTAAGATGCTCAATACTGTCGTATTCTTATGTATCCATATGAATCTGCCATCAAAGGGATGTGTATGAAGGAAGGAGATCAAGGGGGATTGTAAATCGATGCAGTTGGCTGTGGATGAAAATTAAAGGAAGTTGTAGATTGGGGCAGATGGCTGAAGCAGGACAACTGAGGTTGTTTATGACTGTTTATGGTGATGCCTTCCTTTCCTGGGAGATGATGGGAGATGGGAATTGAGAAGGGGAAAACTTCAAAGTGTACCCTTGAAGTGGGCAAATGGTACTTGTTACAAGTGTGGGGAGGGGCTGGACAAAGGACTTTTAAAGTGTTGGTTAACTTGGGGAAACTCAGAATTGATTCTAATTGTTGTGGTAGTTTTGTGTGTCTTAGAATCCAGAATAAAGCAATAATTAATTTTCACTAAAATGCTGTCCTGGTTCTTCAAGTCTTCAGCCATCAAACATGACACTGAATCAATTCTCCCTCCAATGTTACCTCATCTGTGGCAGCAGCCTTCAGCCCAAGGTAAATCCAGTCTGGAGGAGTCTTTCTGGGACAAGCAGAATGGCAATCACGTGACCCCAACCCAGGTTGGGTGAGAGGGCTCTGGCTGGGAAGCTGAAGCAAAACAACCCTGTGGAGCTGAGGGAAGCTTGGGGGTCTATGGCGGTGGTGGGAGGAAACCCTGCAGCTAGCATGGAGGCATGTAGAATAATAAAAAATAAATATAATAAAATTTATTTGTATCCTGCTTAATGACAACAATCCAAACTGCTTACAGTAAAAACCCGCTCATCATTTCAACCAAACCACCCCATCCCCCTAAAAGAGCATTAAATAATGAATGATTAAAAATTACCATAAACATAGAATAAAAACATAGACAATGTAAAAATAATAACATACTT